CTTTCACGAACAGAGCTGCGGTGAACCGCGGATCTCTGTCGGAGATGATGTCTTCGGGGAGTCCGTGTAACTCGTACACATGTGAATGAATAGTGAAATACAAACCCTGGGCATCGACAGTGCTGGACGTAGGGGCCAAATGGACCATTTTGGAATACTTGTCTACGAACACGTAGATAGCGTCGTGTCCTTGAGATGTAGTTGGTAGTCCAACCATCAAGTCCATTGTGACTGTGTGCCCACGGGTATGGTGCCACCGGCAAGGCTTGGGTGGGGACCTTGAGTCTACGACCACTCTTTGCCGTTGCGCATGTGTGACAAGTGTCAACGTACTCTCGAATCGCACTGTGCATCCCCGGCCAATAGAATTCGCGCGCAGCGCGGGCCTGAGACTTGGAAACACCTTGATGTCCACTGCTCAGCCCATCATGCGCCATGGCCATTACGCTTCTATGACTGGAAGATGGCACGCAGATGCGGTTCTTGTGATAGAGTAGGTCGCCAACACGTTTGTACTGTGGAAAGGACGCGAGGTCGTGAATGATCTTCTCCCAGAAAGGGTCTTTGAGGTAGTCAGACCAGCGGATGTTGACTGTTTCGTCTTCAAGCAGCTCCCTGACCATGCAGGTGCGAGAGAGTGCATCCGCAACGACGTTTTTGTCGCCTGGAATGTACTTGAAAGTAACGTTGAAGTCTGAGAGGAAGAGCGACCATCGCTGAATGCGGGCTTCCTGTATCTTGTTCTGTGCCAACACTCGCTCGAGCGACTTGTGGTCGGTGTAAACAGTGATGGGGCGACCGATACAAAGGTAACGCCAATGTTGCAGAGCTTTGATGACGGCATACAGCTCCTTCTGCCTGATTGGCCAGTTTCGCTCATGCACTGAAAGGGTGCTGGAGTAGAACTCAATGGGGCGACCCTTGTGCTGGAGAACAGCGCCGACTGCTTTGTCGGAGGAGTCTGTAAACAGATCCAGTGGCTCTGTAGGATCAAGGTCGAGCGTGGGACACAACGTGGGCAACTTGGCCATGGTGGCCTTGAGATTGTTGAAGATTCGCGAGTCATCCTGCGTCCAGTTTGACAGTCGCTTCTTCGAGTTTTTCTTTGTGCCACTTGTGTGTCTGAACAATGGTTGCACATAGTCGGAGTAATTGCGAATGTATTTCTTGTAGTAGTTTGCAGCGCCAAGAAACTGTCGCAAATCGTGAGCAGTCTTGGGCAGTGGCCAGTGAAGAACTGGGTCGAGTTGTTTCTCAATGGGGCGGTGCCCTCCTTCTGAAAGGGTGTGACCAAGCCATTCCACGGAATTTGTCACGAAATCGCATTTTGCTTTGTTCAAGTGCAAATGATTTTGCTTGAGCGTTTTCAAAACGTCTTCAACAATTTGGAGATGATTATCAATCCCATTTGAAGAGTGAATGAGATGTAATGAGTTCGGACAGCAGCAAAGGCAAAGGGTATGTGCTTGGGATCGTCAATGCATTCAATGCTTATTTTTGAACCACCAATAGTACAGGAGGGATCTATGTTGAAGTGGACGGTTGGATCCAACCCTTGATTAGGTGGTCCTTAACCGTGTCATTTGCGTGAAATCGTTCCATTGTTGAAGTCGAAAACGGGTTGGGCCCGTTGCAGCCAATCCATACCGAGCAGGAGATCCACAGAGAGATCTTTCACTGCTGGCAGGCACATGCTGGTGACATGGCCACACCACTCGATCTTGCCAGTGGCGTAACGATCGGTGGTGCTGGTGCTGCCATCCGCGAGAGCAAGCGTAAGCTTAGCTCCGGGACGTGTCTCAGAAAAGTTGCTGAGTTTACACAATGACCTCTCGGCCCCAGTGTCCACAAGCGCTCGCAGCCTCTTGTTACAGAAGAGCACATTAGTGCTAATCAAAGAGGAGTTGCGGGTGCAAGCGTTCACGGACACAACGGTGACCGGCCTGCCTTCCTCGTCAAATTGCATGTCCTCAACGATGCCAATTTGCTTCACGGACTCAGTGAGCTGCGAAACAGACTCAGCTGGATCAACTCGTGGAAGAGGTCGAGGAGGCGGAGGCGGAGGAACGTGCGAGGCATCATGCAGCTCAGCACCGGCTTGTGTCGGGTTGACACGCACCGTGTTGGTGGCCGTTGGCCCATCCAACTGTTTGCCATTCACGTGACGCCGAGCATGGCAATCACTGACGACATGGTTGGTGCGACCGCACCGACTGCACGGTGGCAGTTTGCGAAGCTGATGCTGTTTGGGACGACGGTTCCTCATGCGAGGCTGGTGCGAGCGCGGCGGTTGTTGTGGTGGAAAGCGCTTGCTACGCTTGAGGTCGGAAGAGGCCGTGTCGTGGCGGCGCTTGCTGCGCACGATGGAGAAGTAACGGTCCACGAGGATGATGGCGTCGTGCAGAGTCTTGGGCTGCTTGTCCGAGATGAAGAGCTGCAGACGCGTGTCGTGGAACCCGGCGAGGTACGTGCACACCACGTGAAGCTCGGGATTGACGTTGGCCAGCAGGCTGCGGGCGCGCTCCGAGTACGCGGCGTGGTCCTCGTCCGTGCGAATCTCCAGGTGGGCGATGTCCATGTGCCGAGACCAATCACATCGGGGGGCGAAGCGAGCCGAGCACGTGTTGAGAAAGACTTGCCAGAGCTTGTCCTTGTCCTCGGTACTCGCCTGCGCCGTGTCGGCATGTTCCTGGCAGAAGTCCAGCGCAATCCGCGAGAAGCTATCGTCGTTCGTCTTCGGGATGGCGTACTTGAGATTGTCCATCGGGTGGGAGCCGTAGAGCTTGCACAAGTTGGCGAACCATTCCAGGTTGTTCGAAGGGCTTGTCCACAAGCTTGGCAACAAGGTCCGAGAACGCATGGCTTGGCG